GTAAAAAGGAAAGCACAAGTAGTAGAAAATCAGTACCATGGTGGATTGAAGAATGTCGTAAAGCAGTTGCACATAGAAACAGAGAAGTTAATCAATTTAATGTGTCACTGCAGAATAAAAGTTTTTTTAAAATCCAGAAATTACCCCCAACGTCTGAGCAGTCTGTGAAAAAGAAAAAAAGGACCGCTTTGGTCGGTTCTTTGGATCAACACATTGGTCAGTAGCCTTAAATGCACTATTTAAAATCTCAGCAATCGTATAGTCCACCTGTTCATCTTAGTGCAGTTACTGTTGGTTTGAATCACAGTGACTGTGTTAGGATGAACATTTTTCACATGAGCACCAGAGCATTTCCTTAAACTCACTCTCAAGAGAGGGAAACCAGTATATAGTGTTTATCTGTTCACATTTGTGCCTTTGTGTCCTTTTTATGGAGATAACCGACTGATGAATGGACAAGACTGAATATTAGATGATTTTAGGGAATCACCAATGCTTGGAGAGCACATTCATGCTGTGTAGCACTTCCTCAGGAATATATGCAACATTAATTATGCAGAACAAACTATTAAATCTCTATTATTGGAGTGAAGTAACAGTATTCCACCTAAATAATCACTATGTAGATATCAGGGTAATTCTTGATAATAACGTTCATTTCTGATAGCATACAGTAGATATGCAATACACTGTATACTGTAATGCTTAGAGAATTTTTAATGTACAATCAATTTGTCATGAAACTTTGATTCGTTTATCTGTTCATATTGAATGTACATTAACTAATCTGCTTAGTGTTAAATATATTACATAATAATGAAAGTTGTTATAAAAGTGTTATCAATATCAGGGTCACTGTAAATTTTAATGGCTTGAATTTCGGTTGTTTGTATAGTTTATTTCACATGACTGCAGGTAATACTTCTGTTCATATGAATACAGCCATACAGTATGTGCTGGTTCTATGAATGGATAAATGTGTGTAACTACTGGTGCTGTGCTGTACTCAACAGTTAATTCGGACTAAAGAAGACTTCTTGATCAGATGTAATGCCTTTTAATCGATTTTTTGTGTTTTTAGAACTTATACTGTAATCAGATTAATACTAGAGCCGAAGCGCTAGTCTAAGTGCCTGACTTTATCAGGATGTTTTAAAATGAAATTCATAATTATGCATTAAATAATGTACGTTTTCATCAGGGTGGAGCTGTGGTAATTTTACCAATTCATAATTATCTTAATCTTAGAAATACAGATGGGTCAACATTTTGTTCAGTTGTGTATATACAGTATTTGCTTTGTTTTTGACATATTATTCTAGCCACACTATTTGTAAGGTGGCATTTAATATATGTAATATCACTAATATTACATCAATTAAATGCCACCCTGCAATGCGTACTGTATGTTTGTCATGTATATGAATACATATAAATTAAATGAATACATATTTCAATCTGAATGCGAAATTTTATTGCTTGCATTTGAAATATCTAGATATGTACAATAAAAAATGATTAATGTCACCATTTCAGCTCTTTTCATAAATATAAATAATAAACAAACAAACATTAAAGAGCAGATGGAGTGTCTATCACAGTACAACAAAAGACACACAACTAGTTACAAGGCTTAACAGTTACATGGACAAAATGAAAAGAAAAGTTCATTTTATGGTACAGAAAAAAGCTTGGCAACACCCAAAATCATAATTTCCATAATTTGATCTTTGTTCCTTAAGTGTTGTTAACTCGCAATTTGCATTGGGTGTAAAATGATAACAGCACTAGTTAATTTGATTATGTTTGGCCACAATTCCAGTATTGCGATCTGCACTGGACTGTGCTGTTTTAGGAAATCTTTAAACCCCTTATGAATCACACTTTCTCACCATGTAAATTCTCTCTCAAAAAAAAACAACATAATTGCTGATTTGGTCCCTTCAAACCCAATGCATTCAATGCAATTAATATAGTCAATGCAAATAATATTTTTGAATATTGTGACGTCACCATAAATGCTACTCATTTTAGTTAAGAATATCGTTATGTTGTCTTTCTGATGTTGCAATTATTTAGCAAAATTTTGTGGCTGCCTTGGAAGAAATCTGTGTTGCAGGATGTTTTTTGGAGTCTGACACACCATGAAAGCTTGGATTGAAAGCTTTATAGATGGTCCTGGGAAGTAAAGCTCAGCTTGCTTCATTTCTTGTGGGTGCAATTAAAGCAAAACGATAGGCTTTGTTCCTCCTTGTGTGTTCATGTACTGGTTAGAAAGGACATCCACAGCCGAGTATGAAGAGTAGAGGCCTGTCACCTGCAGGTCTGGGTAAGGCAGTCCTCCTGCATTGGACACAGGCGTGACATTGCCGGTGTCCAGGTCACAGTCAGACAGCCGAAGTGGGGAGTTACTGAGTGTACCTAATGCCTCCAGGTTAAAGCTGTCATCCTTCATCTCCTCCCACAGGTTTCCTGTAATCAGAAGAGAAGAACTGCGTTAAATATCAGCCCACAAACAAACATTCTGTGGCTTTCAAAATTGTTATTTTAGTTGATTATTGACGTAGTTAATGCCGACCTTGCCAGGTGAAGTCCATAATACTTGGGTCCAGTGCGTCCACCTCTGAATTCACGTCACTGTGAACTGTGTAGAAGTCGCTGTGCTGCTTGGCAGGATGCTGAGGGAGGGAGCTGTTTGTCAAATCAGGGATGGTGTGGAGAGGGGGTGTCTGAGCGGGAGCAGGGGAGGCCGGAGCCAAGCGAGACTGATTCTGGAGCTGCAGTTGAAAGTGCTGATGCATAGGGAGGCACTGTAGAGAAAGAGTGACCACTGGTTGGGGCTGCATCTGAGCCGGTATTGGGAGAGTCGGCCCTGGGGGGCAGCTGGGCAAGCGTGTCATGCCATTATCAATGGACTTTTGTCTGCAGCTCTCCGGTCTGTCTGTAATGAGTTTGTCTAATTCATCTGGGGGGAAAAAGTACCAAAACAGGACAATATTAATAGTTATACTTTATTTAACTAGATTTGTACATTTACTTTTCTGCTCTAGTTTCTGTACTACTTCAGCTTACTCTTTGCATAGAGGTACCATGAACATTGTTGGTTCTTGTATGTATCCACATATTATATATTGCTAAGGTAAGAATGAAATGGTCTCTTCTTCACTTCTATTCACGTGTTTTCCATCATCATTTTACATTTTTCCCCTCAAATGCTGAAAAGACTGTTTATACAGAGTGCAGTGTTTCTGTAACTGTCCAAAGCATGTGAATATGAGGCACACGATTGGATGTCTGTTGCTAAGTGTATTGCTGTAACATTCTAACACCGCTCTGTTTCACACTGTACAAGGTTGGCACCGCAATGCGGGGTTAACACAGCAAAAGTGGTGCTAACCCTGGTCCGCTTCTAAATTACATGTGTGAAATGTTCCTTTATCCGGGGTTAAAGGCGGAGTTTAGAACGGTGATAACCTGGGGTTAAGCACAGTGTGAAAATCCCTATGTGATGGGTGATGTAGTTTTTTAGGGGGTATCAAGCATGCTTGACATTAGTCAATTTTAGAACGCATAGCAAATGAAAATTTGTCATGTGTCTTCCTAGTAGCGAGGTGCATATTTCTGCATGAGTTTGCTTTGATTTGAGAGACTTGAGCCAGCCTTAAATGTAAGAAAATTCACTGCTGTGATGCTAGTGTTGTGGGTTGTTGTCAGAGCAAAGATGTGTTGATGATTTCCTAGCACTGATAATAGTCAAAAATTGAAGACCTGGATTGGCCATGCTTCGACGGATGGCAGGGAGATCTTTGCGCTTCCATTTTTGCATCTCTTCCTCCATTTTGTTGATCTTTGCAGGATTGAGTGCCCAAAGACAGCCCTTTCTGGAGGA